GCGGCTCTCTGGGCAGCACGGTCCTCTTCACAGTGGGGGGCCCTCCCAGGGGCCTCGCTTTCCCCAGGGGACTCGCCTTCTCTCTCCCCAAGGGGCTCCCTCCTCCTCTTACCCAGGGAGTCTTCTCCAAGGATCCCCTTAGGGCACTCACCTGGAGACCCCCCCTTACTCTTAGGTTTCCGTCTCCCTTTTCCCTGCAGACCCCGAGGGGTTCGTAAGGGGGCAGCTGAGCTGTGGGGTAGTCCCCCCTCCCATTATTATTATTATTACTTTTAAAACAGACACAGAGCTGCCGAGGCAGGAAAGAGCCGGGCCAGGCTGCCCAGGCCTGGACCCCATCGCCCTCACCCCAACCCTTAGTCTCAGCGTTTTGTGATTTTAATTTTGGCGGGAGGGAATGTGGACTGAGAGGAAAGAGAGAAGCCAAGACAATTTGTAACTAGAATCCATTTTTCCCTTTCCCTTTTTTTAAACAAACAAACAAACAAACATACAAAAAAAAAAAAAGCTAAGAGGCGACGGAGGCCGAACGCAAAGTCCGGATCGGAGAGAAAACGCAGTAAGAACTTTTAGAAGCAATAAAAGGCAAAAAATACTACTACCAATAATAAAAAGACACAAATATCTATGCAAGGAGGTTCTGACTGAGCCTAGCGGCCCGGCCCGGCCCCGGGATGCCCCTCCCGGCCCGCGGGCTGCGCCGCCCCAGCGCGGATCTGTGCACTTTGGTGAAGTGGGGGCCGGCGCCCGCCAGCTCCTCCTCCCCAGGTTCTTACAATCAGTGACTCGGAGATTTGGGGCCCCAGTGCCACTGCCCTCCCCCCGCCCCGTCCCCGTCGTGCGTCATGCTGTTTTTTAAAAACCTGTTTCCAAATTTGTATGGAATGGCAAACTGTTGGGGGGGTCGGTTTGGGGAGGGAGGGTTTGCATGAGAGACGTACACACGCACACCACACCTCACGCACACACGGGCCGGGCGCGGGCGTCCGGGGGCAGGGGGAGGAGAGCTCCGTGGCGTCCCTCCCCTCAGGCACCTGTACCCCTTCCTGTGGTGAGAGTGGAGGCCAGGATCTGGGGGCAGCCCCGCCCCGCCCGACTGTGCTCCGGTGGGCGCCAGCGCCCAGCCATTTCCGGTGGCTGGAGAAGGGGTTTTTGTCCGAGTTGTCCTCTCGGCTCAGGCTGGCAGGTGGGCAGGGAGAGGGCTGAGGGCTCCTTCTGGAGTCTCCCCCAAAAAAGGGGCAAAAGAAGACCCTCTCCCCACCGGAGGCAGGAGATGAGGCATCCAAACACACGGTGCAAAATGCAAACCCACAGGCGACACACCCACTCATTCACCCATACACTCACACGCAATTTTACCTTCCTCTTGTAGCGAAGATTAAACTCCCGTCGGACACCCGAAGTGCATTGCGTGTTTCTGTTCAGTTTAATGACGATTAATAAATATTTATGTAAATGAGATGCAAAGCCGGACCGGTTTCTCACGGTGGCCTCGTTTCATTCCAGGGACTGAGCTGGGGCTCGGGGTGATGGTGACAGTCAAGTGACTGTGCAGAGGCCAGGGACAGGGGCCCTGGCCATCCTGGGTAGGATTCCCACCCTCGAGATCCCTCACACCCATCCACTGGGCACCCAGACCTTACACAGACACACACGCCCCCAGCACAAAGCATCGCACTGATCTCCTGACACTCCTTCCGTTCCCAAACATGCACGCGCACCTCCATTGGAAACAAATATCTTTTCATCACTGAAAAGTGACCGAGTTGGGAGCAGCCAGTTATTTGACAACCCTCTGCCCACTGTTGCAACAAAAACAAGCGTGCAGGGATACACAGACAACCATTTAAGCCAGACATGGCTGTTTTAATAAAAAAAAAAACTATAAGGTCATGAGGATGGAATATTAATGGAGGAAATCTTTTCGGTCTTAAATTTGTGTTCCGTGGACTCCGGGGAATGGGTCATCTTTAGCCTCAGGAATGTTGAAATCTGTAGGGGTGCTGATGAGGTTGACGGAACACTCCAGAACTCTATGAGGATGCCTAAGCCTAGGTACCCACCAGGTAGAGTGGAGCTCGACCTAGCCCTGAGCTTCCACCGGCAGGGCAGTGGGAACCTCGCTGGTACACAGCCTCCTTCCTGCCTGATGAGGCTCCTCACACTGGCAAGTCCTCAACCTAGGGAGGCGGAGGAAGGGCACCTCAGAGGAGGCTGTCCTGCCCACCGCGTCCCCATCCCAGACAAGGTAGCCTCACGTTCTCTTTCTCTGAGCCTCAGGGGCAGAGGCATCTCTGAATTGACGTCCCTGAAAGGATTCTCCACCCAAAACACACCAGTGCCCACTGGACCCCTGGAATATGTGGAAAGGGGGCTCAGTCCTAAAAACCCTCATCCCAGAGCCTTAGGAGTACTGGCACCCAGCTGTTTCTAACGCTGCTTACTTCAATTATCTTTAAAAAACACATACATTGGTTCTTGTTTTAGAACTGCAGTGGGGACTGTAGTGTGTGTGGGTTTGGGGCTTGAGGTCAGGCGTGGTAAGGCTTTTAAAGGTTGGATCCCAGATCCCAAAATGACAGCGCCCTGACACAAGTGGGAAAAGGAAAGGTAGTTGGAGAAGAAAACCCTAAATGCAAACGGGTGGATCGTATTATACTGACCTTAAGCTGGGCGTCTCCCCTAAGTGACCACCCCCAAACCCTCTCAGTAGAGACAGGCCCTCCCTCCTCCACCTCCGGACGGTTGCTGAAGGAGCCGCGCCCCAAAAGGGAGCTGTCCGATCGCCGGTGCTGACTGTCCTGCAGCCTCGCGCCTTCCCTCCGCAGAGGGAGGTCGCGCTGGCCGAACCCCAGGGAGCACCGAACCGGCAGAGGCCCTTCCCAACGATCTGCCGGAATTCTTCCCATTTTCCAGAGAATTTCACGGTCCTTTAAAAAATCCACTGCCTTCTCTGGAATTCTCATAAGATCGCCTCTCTGGGCCTTCATCTCCAGAATCTGCCCCTGTTGGTAGTCAAAGGGACTCTTATCGACCTCTGAATCACCCCTATTATTGGGAGAAAGGAGTTGACCCACCTTCATTCTCCCCCACATTTTGCGTGGAATATGGAGCAAGGAGCACATCCTAGACCCAAATCTGCTCAGCTCATGGCTGGGGCAAGGCCTGGCAGGGGCAACTGGCGAAAAAAGCAACTCAGCATCCATCCCGAGCCCTGAGTCTTCACCTGCCCTGGGAGCAAGGTTAATGAGCTCCTCTCCCGCTCAGCCGGTTTCCCATAACCCTCCAGCACCCAGGTGGCTTGGGGCTGGAAGTAACGGTCCCTCCATGTGGCCCCCCTGGTCAGACCACTGACTCCTAAGCTTTGCTCTTCAGGCTACTCCACACAGCTCAGTTCCATTTCCAAAGCCTGATTCCAGCGCCTTTTCAAGAGATGTTGATGACTCTTGGGCCATTGTGTCTGTGGTCACCTCGGATGGGTGGGGGCCCTGGACCCCTTTTGGGGTGGGGATCCTGAGTGCCCGGGCCTTTCCTCCAATTCCTGACCCTCCCCCACACTCCCTGCACTCTGGCTGCACTCTACCCTCCCCTTGCCCTCCTCACCAGCGCTCAGCTTCCCTGGCGAGAGGGCGAGATGAGCACGAGAAGAAGATGTGTGCGGACACAAGGCCCCAAACTCCCCCTCGCAGGTCCTTTTCTCTTGCTTGCCTGTGCGCACACACAGGGAGAAGCTCCAGGAACAGAAGGGGAGGATGGTGAAAAGGGGCCGGAGTAGTGGAAGGGAGGGGACTAGGGGAGAAGTCGCAGCAAGGACGCCCTCCTGGCCCCAGCCCCAGCAGCAGGGGTCTCCAGGTGCACACCAACTGGCGCAGCTCCCACCCCTGGGCTGCCCAACTCGAAGGCTGGAGCCCAGACCCGCCAGGAGGGCGTCTGTCCCTTGGTTTCCCCACCCCCACCTAAAGCTCAGTGTTTGGAAATGACAGGGAAACAGAGACGTCTCTGAGTCCAAGCCATTTGTCCATCCAGAAGAAAGAGAGGAAGCGCCATACTGCCTCTCCCCTGTCCCCTTCACTCCTTTCCAGCGGTGAATGCCACCGCAGGCCCCTGACTCCCAATGAAACACACACCCCCTCTGGTTTCATCACCCAGAGGGACAGCCCAATCAATGACCCAGGTATGCTGAGCCCGATTGGAGTCAGCAGCACGGAGCCCTGGCACTCCCTAGACTCTACTGGGTTGTGTTTGCTTCTCTCTCTCTTATTTTTCCTTTTCCGGGAAAGCCCACAAGCCTGTGGGCGCAAGGTCGGAGATTTCGTT